ATCATCTGCAGAATCAGATCCTGGAAGAGATTTCTGGAACGGAAAGTGCAGAAACCCTGCTCTTTGCAGAAACTCTGGAATGGAATAAGATGAGAAAACAGGGACAGAGAAAAGTATAAGAGCGCTCCCTGAAAAATAAGAAGTAAGACTAAAATACAATATACGGCCTAAAAATGAGCCAGAAGAAAAAGATCAGAACTGAAGTCAGAATTGTGCACTCTCCTCTCAAGCTATGTAGCCATGCCACTGAAGTCCTAATACGCCACTTCTGCCTAACTAGGCTTGCTGTTGCCTAATCTTTTTTTTGCAATTCCTTATCTCTGCTAAGGCCCTTGTTCTGCAGATATTTAGATGTGTGAGTTCAGTGGCATTTATGGAGTATTTCTCAAGAAAATTGTGTTTGGAGATAGCACCTCTGTCACAGTTCCTGTAAACAAAAAAAGATGGTTAAAGTTAATACAGGTTTTACAGAAATAAAACAATTTTGATTCCAGTTAAAGGCAAAGGTGTGGCTCATGTTCATTTTTCCAAAGTCCTTGTAGCATTCTTTTGAGCCATAAATGTTGATTCTTTACAGGGTAGCTGTGAACAAGGAGGACAGATATAGGGCCTGATGAATATCAACTCTCATGGTATGCTAGTGCCCTGGATATGCACCCATCCCTCACTGCATCAAACGGTGTGTGATGGGCACTGCCCAGTCTGAAAGCAGGGCAGGGGGAGAGTGCAGTGTCAGCTTCAGTGACAGCAAAGAATGTTACGCATTTTGATACACTGGCTAAAGACAGTCCTGTGAACAGCAAAAAAAATGGAGCTGTGCCTTCTGTTGTGATAAAGGATTATGAGAATAAGTTTTGAGATTTCTGAAAAAATCATCAATTTTTTGGTATATTTGCAGTTCTGTTTTCAGTTGACGTGAATATGTTACCTGTCAGCTTTCAAATGGAATGTATATATTTCAAATATATATATTGCAATCAAATATTCAACTCAAAGAATAATGTGACCATGTCTCTCTACCAGACTTACATATCACTCTCTTACCAGAGATAAATAACTCTCACTTCACAGCCACACCTCATTCATGTCACTGCTTTTTGGCAGTAGATACATTTGTGAACACCTATTTTCAAGTATGAAGCACAGGAAAAGTAAAATTTCATCAAAAATCTCTGACAAACACCTTGAGAGCTGACTGTGAATTGGAGCTGCTACCAATCAAATCAGAGTGATGTGTTAGTTTCATAAAAACAATGACTCATATCCCACTAGTTTTAGGTATTTGTTTCTCTCCTTTTTAGTTTGAACAAAAAATATTAAAAGAGAAAATAAGTTTTGTTACTTATATACAGGAGCTATATTATATATATAAAATGAGGGCTGCTCCAAAAGTAATAACTCCTACTTTATGATGCTGGCCCATGACATCAGAGGTGGATACGGATGGTATGACAGTAAAGGCTGAATGTTCCCACCAATATCCAGTTAGCTCTTGTTCCCATGTGACAGATGGCAGCAGAGGGGCAGTCTGACAAAGTGGCATCTAATGTGGAAGTGCATATGCAGCAAAGGTGTGTCATTGGATTCCTTCATACAGAAAAATGGTATTCATCGATGCTTGCTGAATGTTTGTAGAGACCAAAGTGGATGTGAGCAAAGTGAGGCAATGGGTGGTGTGTTTCAGCAGTGGTGACAGTGGGTCGCCTCCAGTGGTACAGGTTTTGAGGAGTATGACATACAGGCATTTCTTCATTGCTGGTGAAAATGCATAGCTAATGATAGTGGCTCTGATGAAAGATAGTGTTTTGTAGTAGAGAATTTGCTCTATCGAATAGTGTTATTGTGCCCTTTATATTGGTTGTAGTTTCTGTGGAAATAAATAGGAGGCATTACTTTTGGTGCAACCCCTTTATATGCAGCCTGCGACAATTCCACTTCACTCACTGCAGCCCAAGCAAGCCAAAAGGTTACACTGCTATGAGTTAAGGTATTCCAAATCCAGGCTATGTGGGGACCTTCTGGTGCTGGAAGATTTTTCCAGAGTTATGTACATATGATGAGTTCCTCATCTTCCAGAGCAGCAGATTCCCTGCCAAATCCATGCAATCCCCTTTAAAGCTGACTCTGGGGTTTTCTGAACACCATGCCTGGTCTTCAAGGAGAATGGCCACTGATCCTTAATTAAGTGTCTCTTTTCTATTTGTTTATGTATTTATTCAGACTGCGCATTCATTCACATTGTATTCATTGAGCTTTGATCAAATCCTGAATCACTGTCTGTCTGCACGCAAGCATTTATCTAAAGGTATGGGTTTAAACTAATTAACTCAGACTGGTACAAGCCCCAGTGTAGGCACTGATATTGGCTCAATACCTTACTCAGAGCGCTCTGAAGTTGGCTGAGATCTTGTAGGGATCCTCTTCTTTGGGAGTAAAGTGTTTGCACAGCAGCAGGACTGAGCTTTGCTGGGTTGTACAGTGGCTGACCTCAACTGATAGGGTGCTGAGGTGCTGTGGTCGGCATCTGCTGGAGATGTTCAGATGGAGGATCTTGGCAGTGCAGGGTGACTTTATTATTACAAAACTCTCAGCAAGATAATGGCGTTTCAAATCAAGGTGAGCAGAAGCTGCCGATCTGCTCCCTGGTGCTGTGTCCCTGCCCTGCTGGAGCAAACTCATTTGCTTTGCAAAGCGCTTACAGATGCCTGTAAATGGAAAAGGGGTGGAAACACGCCTGTTCTCCCTGGCTGCAAATGAAGCACATGTCCTCTTTCCCTGAGGTGATTTTCCCACCTGGGTGGATCCAGGCTGCCTCACGAGCCATTCAGTCCTGGCAGACCCGTGGCAGACAGGGCCAGCAGAGAAGCACCCTGATAAAAGCCGCCTCTCTTGCGCTTATCACCAAACGAACTCCCAGTTGGCTTTGTTTGACTTCGCCGGTTTATTGGATTTGTTGCTTCCCTTCTTCATTTTCATATTAAAGGCTGGCGCGGGGCTGTGATCCCGCTCAGCACAGCACTGGTGTGCAGGGCTCTAATTGCTCAGCTGCCTGAGGTCATCGCCGGGAGCTGCGCCGTGTGTGGCGACGGCACCTCGTATTTTCTCCCCAGCCAGATTGAAAAAAAAAAAGATTCAATTGGCTCTGGGTCTGTCAATAGTGACTAATCAGGTGCTGTACAATTAATTATGGAGGGGTGTCATTTTAAAACAATTCCAAGGTGGGAAAGAACAGGCCCAGGCCCTTTACCTGTTGGCACTGTTTGTGTTGCTAAGCCAATCCAGCCTGCGTCCTCCATTTCATTTACCTTTTAAACTATTGCCCCCGCATAAGTAAACACTTTCTATAAAGTGTGTGTGCACGCATGTGTGTAAGTGGGTGGAGAGTGATCTGGGAAGCTCTCTACCCTAGAAAAGATACTAATGATGAAGGGAAAAAAAGAAGAAGAAAAAGCATAATTTGGCGATAATTCCAGAGAAGAGCAGATTACAACAGGTGGATGAAACAATGATAGCATAGCTGAGGCTGAATCCCCGTAACCCAAATTAGTATGAGACAGGGTGATAAGAGATGTCCTCACTGTGCAGACATGGGGCTGCCCGGGTGCCTCATGCTGGGCTTTCCTGGCTGCTCTAATACAGGAAATTGGAAGCACCCTGTCAGATTGCCCAGCTTGATGATCTAGGAGCTCTTAAACACCCTCCAGCCAAAAGCTGTACCTGCAGTGCTGTTCTGCTCCATAGGAAAAAATGTGGATTCCTGTGTGTGTCAGTGTGTGACTGCTGACATCGCTTTTCACTATATTAAATGAAGAGTTAGATATTCTGTATAGACAAGTTATGTGCTAGACAAGGTATTTTAGGAGCAGAAGTCTAAGGCACATCATAGTGGGTTTTTTTGATTTTTGTTTTTTGAACTTTTTAAAAATAAGGATTGTTGGCCCTCCCTTCCCTTCCCTTCCCTTCCCTTCCCTTCCCTTCCCTTCCCTTCCCTTCCCTTCCCTTCCCTTCCCTTCCCTTCCCTTCCCTTCCCAAAATCAGCTTTTCACTTTGTTGGATAACATATTCAAATGAAAAGATTAATTAAACATCAGTACATGTGTATCTTTTATTTAATCAGAAGACTTCTACAGTGTTATTCAAAGCCACTTTCCCAGCTTTGCATCTGAGTGCCATTGCTGAGAGTTCTCTCCATCCCCCAGTCCTCAGCCAAAAAAATACATCATGTTGGCTTTGTTAATGGTGAAACATTTAGTACACTTAAACTCAGTTTCTTTCAGTGTTTTGATGACTGCTGCCCTGCTTTGTTGCCATGATGAAGTGCTGGGGCTGGAGCTCCTTGTCAGAGGACTTTGCAATATGAAGTGAGCAGGTGCAGCCCACAGGGGCTGTGTAACCAACGAGCTGCCATCTGGTCTAGGGCAGAAACCTGCTGAATCCAGTATCCTGGTTTCAAAGCAAGGAGAAGTTGCAGCAAGTTTTATATTGAGCATGTGAGAATTAGGAGGGCTGTTCCCAAAGTAATGCCTCCTGTTTTATTATGTTGGCACATGACATCAGAGGCGGATGTTGGTGGTACGGTGGTAGAGGTTGAACCTTCCCATCAATGTCCTGTTACCTGTTGTTGCTGTGTGACAGATGGCAGCAGAGGGACAGTCTGAGGGAACGGCTTCTGACGTTATATGAAACAATGGAGTGTGACTGAATTCCTTCATGTGGAAAAAATGGTACCCAGTGACATTCATCATAGAAACACAGAATCATAAGTTGGAAAAGGCTTAAGATGATCTTGATCTGAATGTAGGGGAGGTTCAAGCTGGATATCAGGAAAAAAATTCTTCTCCAAAAATGTGGTGAGGCATTGCAACAGGCTCCCCAGGGAGGTGGTGGAGTCACTGTTCCTGGAGATGTTCAGGAAAAGGGTAGTTGTGGCACTGAGGGACGTGGTTAGCGGGCATGATTGGGATGAGCTGATGGTTGGACTAGATAGATGATCTTGGAGGTCTTTTCCAGTGTTAATGATTCTGTGTTTCTATGATTCTATGTTTCTATGATTCTGTGTTTCCCTATTCTGGCAGGGAGAGCAGTGGCACAGTGTGATGGGTAACACGGGGTTTTATGGCCAAGTGAAATAATGGATGTTGGAGTGGAGGTTACAATGTAAACATGCACTCAGATACCAGAGTAATGAACATAGCATAAATATTTAGATGTGTTCCTACATCTAATTCTTGGCCTCATAATTCTCATGTCAAATAGTTTATAAAAGGCAAAACTATATTTCAGTTACAGGCACGGCTTCATAATTCTTAAGGTTAATTAAGGCAGCCAAATGTGCTTCATGCCTGTCTGCCGTGGCTGTGTAACTGTACTAAGTTGTGTATCATTAAAGGCTTTTCCTATCAGTGACTGTAACAACAGTGATTGTCAGCACATGTGTATCTGAGTGTTTAGCCTAGGTGACAAGCAGCAGCAGTGTGCACTGTCCTTATGTCTCATATAAACATACTGTCACTTGTGTGTACACAAAGTAAAGGAAGAGTTAATGGTGGCTTGAGATCCTGTTACATGATGTGAACACGTCTGAAATGCAGGTAGCACAGAAACAGTGTGTGCCCCAATGCCAGCTTGTGCCCGCTCCTTCCTCCTTCAGCTGCCCCTTGCTGTGTTCTTTGAGGACAGTGAATATCTCTCAGGTTGGGGCTGGCAGAGGTCAGGAATGTCTCTGGTAGGGCTGCATGGACAGGCCAGCATCACACCACAGGCCATCTCCTGGGACCTGAGGCTGGGCTGCTCCTGATGTCTCAGTGCCTCCTACTTGGGATTAGATGAGTGCCAGGCAAGGAATCCCCCACTGCCAGGGGAATCCCAGCCTGGCACTTCACAGTGTTTTCAAGGATGGCAAGGAGCCTTATCCAGCCTCTACATCTGCCCTAGATGCTTTGCATTCCAGTGATGTGCCACAGATGTGCTGAACCTACAGTACAAACACTACCATCTCACCATCTCTATGGCCAGCAGTTGTTGGTAGGCTCCATCCCAGGCACAGTGGACAGGAACAGCTTCACTGCCAAAGATGTCCCATGGAGTCGGTAGCAGGTGACACAGGCTGCCCCTCGCCTATGTCAGCTGGACTGCTTGTTGGGTGCCTCCTGTGCAGAGAACAGCAAAGCTCAGGCAAACAGAAGAGAAAGGAGGAGTGTTTTCCAGCCTGGCAGCACTGAGAGTGCATTGAGAGTCCATCGTTGGGTTTTTCAGCTCGAGTTGCTCTGCAGTGTGGCGTGCCCTGGGGAAAACCCTTCTCCCAGAAGACTCAATAATTCAACATATCATCTTCCCAAGTGCTGGTGTCTGTCAGCCCAGCGTTTCACCGTTTCATCGCTACATCAACATAACTCATGCCCCATCTCTCTATCTTCCATTTCTCAGTGCTGTGCCCTTTTGGGGCTTCTTTCTCTTTAAGAGGAAACTCAGCGGAAGCTGAGCTATTCAATATTGTTTCGTATTATTTGGTTGTGAAACAATTTAATTTGTTTATGGCTCTAAAGGTCAGATTTGACTTTTGCCCAAATTTCGGAAGAATAAAGAATGGATCAGGCTGAAAGGGACTTTGTGGCATGATAAAATGAAGAAAGAGAAGGGGGCTAGTGAGAATATTTAACTGGAACAGCAAGGCAAACTTACCTTCAGCTCAGGTTTAAAAGCCTAGTCAATCATTAGACATTTTTTATTATTTACCTGGTACAAAATCCCCCCAGGAGAAGAAGTACAAAAACTCATAGGCCACATTCTTGCAAATTTTAGTAACTTGCTCAATAATTTTTTTTTTTTTTCCTTCTTTTTTTTTTTCTGTGATTCAAAACATTTTGAGGGGTACAGATCACATAGGTGTATTTACAGATCAGAAACAAGGAGGAAGCGCAAGGTGGTTGCGGATCCAAGCAGGGGATGTTTGTAACAGTGATGAGAGCAGGGCCAGCCGGGGACTTTGAGAAGGAAGGTGATTCTCACACAGTGAGCAGAAGACAAAGGTTGCATTTACACCTGGCCAGAGGTTTAATCATCTACCATTTCCAAACATTGCAGGCTCACAATCTGTTGTGTCTGAGATCATAAAACATATCACAAACTGGAGACAAGAGAGCTGGGGCTCAATTGACCAGAGCTTATCTTTTCTTTTTCCTACTTCTTATTTTTCACTCAATTTTCTGCTTAAAAAAAAAACCAAAACAAACAAACAACTTGTGATCCCTAAATTCTTACCTGATATAGCAGAAAACATGGTGCAAAGCAATTCTAAAGACTAGGGTGGATTTCTATTCCTCTCTGCCTCACCACTCCGGGTGCTGGGGATTCCACCTGGCTGCCCAAAGCTCCCTCCCAGGCTTTCAGGGAGGAGAGAAATTGCGGAAAAGTGACTATAAAGTGGAGAGAAATATTCAAAGAGGAGTGTGTAGAAGTCTCTCATAGATTAGTTTTCCAGGTCCTAACATAAAAACATCCAACACTGAACCATCTGAACCTGAATCTGTAGGCAGCTTTTGTCTTTTTTTTTGTGTATGGATTTTTGAATTATGGCAACGTTGTAAGGAGAATTTGGATGTCATGGGAGGGTTTGTTGTTTTTTTTTTTTGGAACATTTGCATTTTTGCATTTCTCATATGCATTTGGTTTCTTCTGAAGGGAGGCTGGCAGGTCTGTTGGGCAAGACCAGTGACTCCCATGGCAAAGAGAGGTCGTTGCTTCTTCCTTCTCCTGATGGCCTCTGCAGGGTCATTGCCCTTAGCTGAGCAACCACAGCCAGGCTGTGGGCAGGAGCGGAGACTTAAAGCAAATGGGATTTCCCACTGATAGTTGCAATGGGCGGTAGGAGTGTGGAATGACCAGGGCATGGCCACAGCTGTCATCCCTCCTGAGGGCTGGGCCAGGAGGGACCTTGAAGAGGGGATGTTCCTTTGCACCTCGTTTGGGTGCTTCAGTGCTGATTCATCAAAGCACTTAGCGCCAGGAGGAAGAACCCGCCCTGTTGGGATGAAGGTTTGCACTGCTAACTTCAAAAGGGGCCCGATTTAACCCTTTAACTTTAGTGGGGTTTGGGCCCCTGTTTGAAGGTAAGGAGGTGATACTGCTGGGTTGGAAGGGAACACAAATACCTTGAGGGTCCTGAGTGTCATCATCATGGTGCCTTTGCGAGTGTTCTGCCTGCCAGCTCTGTAACCACTCTAAAAAACGGGAGCTTCCCTACGACAAGCTCATCAATCAAAGCAGGATGGAGAGCCATCTGCCCCTGGCATGGCCAGGTGCCCTCAGGGTGTCACTTGCCTTCCTGGGGTTGCCCTCGACCTGATAACGAGAGTGGCATCTTTGATGTCACCTGGGCGAGCAGTCACACACAATTGCATAATCAAGGTCACAGGAAAATTACACAAAACTTTGCCCACATCTATTGGAAAAATCTGAAGCATTTGCAAAAAAAAAAAGAAAAAGAAAAAGAAAAAGAAAAAAGAAAAAGGAAAAGAAAAAGAAAACAAAACAAAACAAAAAAAAACCCCTAACCACAAACTCCTATCCATGCCACCACAACACCATGCTGAATGGAACGCTGCAGTGGTGAGTTTTCCCTTTACTATATCCTAGAATTTTTTATGAAAATATGTAATACGGGTATAAAGGCAATTAAAAGTTCTCTCTGACAGCCACGTTAATTCAGCTCTGTGGTTTTCCCTCTCTCCTCTTCAGATAATGTTTCAATTACACGATGATAATGTGTGAATATAAGACGCAATCATCTCATACTTCGCATTGCTGAGTGTTGTCTGTCTGAGGATTTTAAGGGGTGAATTGGGTTTCACATGCCCTCAGGATCTACTGAGTATCTGCGAGGCTGCTTGCAAAAAAAGAAATAGCTACTTTGAGAATTTGTACACGAAAATAAAGAGAAGAATTTTTGGAATTTGTCTCGGAGAAATTTCTGCTCTTCCCTGTGTTAATAAAATTTACATTGAAAAGCTTCCCCCTTTCTTGCCCTTTAGTCTTATCATATTTCTACGCCTTCTTTTTTTTTTTTAATTTTGTCCTCATTTGTCTGTGAGAAAGAATAAGTTGTGGAGGTAGCTTACAGCCAAAAAATCTGTAGCATGAAAGAGGCCAGAACTAGAAAGCGAAGCAAGAAAAGCAAAAACTGAAAACATTTTACAAAATAACTAAGAAAATCTTTAAAAAGCTTATGACGCCTGAAAGGCCTCATAGGTGGTGAAGAGGCCACAGGTCCTGCCCTGTCTGCCCAGCTGGGCTGGTGAGAGCCCAGTTTCCCAGCTGCCCCCAAATGTTCTCGTCTCCTGGTGATTCAGTGGCACATCATGGCATCAGATACAGGATGAGGCTGTCTGCAGCACCCGTCTTTCCTCTGTCTGTCACTTAACTGGAGATGATGACTGACATGCCAGAGATTTTACATCACCAAAATCTGTGTGGTGCAAAGGTCCAGGAGGAGTTGCACAATGCACAGTGATGCCTCTTCAAAACTCTCAAGCTTTTAAGTCTTGAGGCTGAAACGTGCATTTCTGATGTGTCTCTCTCACAGCATAGTCCTGTCCCTTTATCCTGAGTGGGTTCCTTCTAAATTCTGATCTGCTGAAACTCTCCTCAAAGCTTCTCCCACCTTTGCTGACTGTTGGTATTTCTGATCATGAGAATATTAGGGCAGAATCTTTTAACTTCTTCCACAGACCCAAGTAAATAAAGAGCTCAAAATATCATCTGCTGTTCCACTGCTTTATAAAAGTTCTCAAGTTAAGACCTGTCAGAAATGATCTTTTTTCCTGATTGCAGAAAGAGCTCAGTCTTTTCGATTTTCACATCATACCTGGAAGAGTGGCTTAATCTGTCTTCCTAACTTTAAGAGTTCAGTGAGCTCTCTTTCCCCCAATTTGGGGACAACTTGTGAGGAAGCTGTCAATAAACATCCACATTGCTTTCCTATGCTCTGTCATCTGAAAGACTGTCCCCCTTAATAACATCCATAAATCGGGTGGCTTAGTTAGTTTAAGTGTGGACACAGTTCATCCTTACTAAGTTTGCATTTTGCTTTAGAATACAACAGAAACAACAGAAGTTGGTCCAAGTGGGCCACCCAGAGCAGGGTGCCAGGCTTATGAAGTTCTCCAAGGAGGAGATCCCACAGCCTTTGGGCAGCCTGTACCAGTGCTCTGTCACCGGCACCGCACAGAAATACTGCCTGGTGTTCAGTGAGAAACTCCTATGTTCCAAGCTGTGCCCATTGCTGCTGGGCACACTGGGCACTACTGGAAGGTGCATGGCCCTATCCTTTTTGTTCCTTCCCTTCAGGTATTTATAGGCAGTGATGAGGGATTCCTCGGAGCCTTCTCCTGGCTGAACAGCTCCACCTTTCTCAGCCTCTCCTCACAGGAAACGTTCTCCAGCCCCATTGCCATTTTCATGGCCCTCCACTGGACTCTCTTCAGTATGCCCACATCTCTTGTATTGGGGAACCCACAACCGCACCCAGCACTCCCAGTGTGGCCCCACCAGTGTCGAGGAGATGGGAATCAACAAGAATCTGGTGAAACCCACTCCTGACTCATGGGAATGGCTGGATGGCTGCGGGGCCATTGAAAGGATATAGGGTTGGAAAGCCAATAAATCCAGCAAGGCTGCTTGGCTGCTTTATGCAGAGATGTAACGGCACCGTCTGGAGTATTCTGCTCCTTTGCATACCTCGAGCGGCTGCCGTCACCCACAGAACATTTCTTGTATCAGCAGAACTGCTCATCGGCTATAATTTTTGTTGAAATATCTCGCTTTAAACTTAGAGAGAACGAATGGAGGCCTCAAATCTGTAAATCAGCTGCACTTTGGAAAACAAATCATCGCAGTGGAGTTTTGCCAAGCTAATATTCTGTTATCATTCATTATTTGGTTTTCACTTTCTGAGCTGATTTAAAAACACCATGCTCCAACTGTACCAGTTGCTTCCAAGATATGAGCCTGATTTACACTTCGAAGATGTGAGCGGCCTCGTAGCTGTGTTTCTAGGATGAAGATGTGCTACAGTGAGGAGTTTTGGGGCAGCAAACTCAGGACATGTGGACAACATCTTGCATGTTACTTCTGCTTACCTGCTTGGCCTAGCGAGGTATTATCACTGACACAAGCAGTGACTTTTCCACGTGCTACAGCAATAATGTTGACTTCCAGAGAAAAGATGGTAAGACATTTCCCAGTGTGATTTCCTAACGGGACTCTGTGAGAAAATACAGTGGAATAAGCATCTAGGAGAGGAAAGCAACACCTGGAAAAAGGATAACAGATGAGGAGTAATGGGGATGTGACATTCATATCTATGGTCCAGAAAATGGGTAAGGTGAAGAGGAAGCACCATGGGGAGGATGGGAAGAAACCAATGGAAATTAAATGGTTATTTAAGAAGCCAAGCAAAACACAGTTCAGTGAAACCAGGCCACTGTCCAGGTGTGGTTTAATCAGCACTGAGGACAGCAAGGACACTTAGCTTTCTTTCTTGGGTTTGGGGATTTCTTTGATTCTGATGCTTGCTATAGTACTGTGGGACAGCTCTGCTTAAAAAAAAAAAAAAAAAGTGTAGTGATTCAAACACTTATCCCGAATCATAAATAAATGTTATTAACCTTGGTTATGTTCTTAGCAGAAATCAACCTACTAAGAAAATTTTCAGCCTTCTAAACACTTCTTATTTTTCTCTGACCAGAAACACAGGGAAATCAGATTTTTTCAGTCACCATAGAAGGCCAGATCTTCACCTAGTTTAACTTTGTTCTGGTCACAAATAACAAAATATGGAAGTTGAATTGCTGTTCCATCCTATTTTTTGCAGTTCCTGTAAGTCTGTGCAATTAGACAGGCTTTGAGACGAGCTCCAGATTCTCCTTCCTTGCTCGTGTGAAATCCTTTCAAGGCTTCCTGAAGGTTATTACAATAATGCTATAGTTGCATGTTAACAAATACCTACCACTTCCAAGAACACAGCTATTTACACGTCACAGGCTTTTTAAAAAACAAAGGGTCTTTCTTCAAAGGAAAATGGGCTTCCTTGTTATTATTGCTGCATCCTTGTTTCCCCGTCTTGGCGTACAGGCTGGCATACAGGATTTCTGTCTTGCATACGGAAGCATAAGATTTAGATCTGGACTATGTGTATGGCTCAAAAAGAATTGGGGTTATAAAATTCTCACATTTCACATTTGTCGTGGCATAGGATTAAGGAGATATAAATGAACAGGTTCACATAAGAACAATTGTTATACCTTCTTTCACTTATACCCTCTTTAAATTAATTGTGTTGCCAGAAGCAGATTGAAGAAGCTTTTGTGTAGATTTGCATCAGCTCTCCCGTGTTAAGATTGCACTGGCCTTCACAAGGTGCTTGGAGGAGCAGCTGCTGGAGTTGATAGGACCCTGTGTATGCCAGTGTATGTGGAGTTTCAGGTATACCTCTCCAACAGTAAATGGAAGGACACAACTCTTTGAAAGATAATGGCAGGACAAGGGGAAATGGTTTTAAGTTGAGGGAGGGGAGATTTAGGTTGGATGTCAGGGGGAAGTTCTTCACAGAGAGAGTGGTGAGGTGCTGGAACAGGCTGCCCAGAGAGGTTGTGGATGCCTTGTCCCTGAAGGTGTTCAAGGCCAGGTTGGATGGGGCCCTGGGCAGCCTGGTCTGGTATTAAATGTGGAGGTTGGTGGCCCTGCATGTGGCAGGGGGGTTGGAGATTCATGATCCTTGAGGTCCCTTCCAACCCTGGACATTCTGTGATTCTGTGATTCCATGATTCCATGATTCCATGATATGATAGAGCCTTGTGTCTTTAGTGTAGCAGATAAAACCAAAGCTCTTGTGCTCCTGTGGTTTCATCTTTCAAGTCTCAATCTAAGAAATAAGACTGTAACCACCAGTGAGTCTATTCTTGAATCGCAGATTATCTGTTTTTTTGCTAGCAGGCAGGTTACTGCCAATATCCAGTACTTGTGCATACAAACACTGAAAGACACCAGCTTGCAGGAAACCACTGAATTGTATGCAGCAATTTTCCTCTCATTTTTACGCTGAGTGAGAAATCAGTCTCTTATGTGAGTGGAGCAGATACCTGCAATTTGTGATGCACTCAGCATAACAGTAATGTTAACCACCCCATCTGGTAATCTGAGTGATAAGAACATTGGCTCAGATCTGATGTTCCTGCTGGTACCATGTACCAAGTTCATGTCATTGTCATTAGCAGCATGTGCCCACCATTCTCTTTCTACAGAGCTGGTTGCAGTTGGGGATATATCCTTTTAGAGCTTCATCTCTTGAGACATCTTAATATGCATCTCAACCTCCCCATCCCCATTGGAACTGCATCTTCCTAGCATCTTCTTCAGTTTTACCACTTCCAAGAAATGATCCTGATGGGACATCCAGGAATGGGATGCGATGCCAGGGGCATTATGAGTTCCCCAATAGGACGGCTGCCTGCATTTTACGAGAAGGAGCAGCATTGTGCAAGGGCAGATGGCCGAACCTGCAGAACTAGTTTCAGCCATAAATGCTCGGAGCACCATGAATGTTCCGTGGCTTTTTTTTTTTTTTTTTTTTAAGGCTGAAATATATTTGGGAAGTACTTGTTCAAACTACTGAGCAGTCAAATATTAACGAGTGGAAACTGAGGGGAAAAAAAAGAAAAAAAAAGATACTTTGAAGGGCTGAAGCTTGTGTGGGTTCTTGCTGTATTTGCCAAACTACAATCACTGGGGCCACACTTGCGACAGGCTAAAACGTTGCTGTGAATAGAAAGTACATCATAAGGGTTCTCAAATACGAAAGTGGGGCTGGAACAAAGGGCAGGCACCAGACAGACTTCCCCTGTTGCGATTACCAGCGTGTCACCCTGGTGCCAGCAGTCTGGTGGCGGCAGCGGGCGGCCGCTTTGCACCAAATGCCACCGGGCAGCTTTGAAACCCTGTGCAGCCCCGCTCTGTGTGCCGCCTCGGTGCAGCAGAACAAGCTTTATCTCTCTTGTTCTGAGAGTGTTTGCTTTAAAGATGATTTACCACACTTGACAATTACCGAATTTCCTAAATTGAACCTGAGGCTTGGTTGCTATTCTGTAAGGTGCTGTGTGCAGAGCAGTGTGCAGGAGGTATGCTAGTCAATGGGTAGCATCTCCGAGAAAAACCTACACATTAGCAATGGACATGACCCATTTGGGTGCTGATGAGATTTCTTCACTTATAGAGCCTCTGGCACCAGTGCTGCGGGAATGCTCTTCCTTCACTTGAATGGGAGGCGATACAAAGAGGTATTGTTTCGTGTATATTTTGTTGGGAAAATTACCAAACATTTATATTAGAACGTTTGACAACGGTGTCAACAACATTTCCCTGGATTGCTGCTTAATATATCTTAATTATTTGTTTTCCATGTGGTGGTTCTTTTAATCTGTTCTTATTAAAGTCTTCCACGTTCCACTAATATTGTCACTGTGTTTCTTTTGAAGGAAACAAGTGTGTGTACTGATAGATTAGATTATCCTGCCCTTTTTTTTTTTTTTAAAGGGAGAAATGTCTTCAAAATGAAGTACATCAAAAGTAAAAGTAGGTGACAAATGTTAATATTTGCAAAGTGCTTCTGCTTTGATCCCGCATTTCTATTTTTTTAAGAGTTTGACAAATGTGTCCTGTGGTTTGGCTTCAAACCTCTTTGCCTAGTGCTTTACTTGACCCACAACCCATTTGATCTTCCACTTGTTTTTTCTTCTGTCCAGGAGGCCTCTGGACTTGATAAAGGATAGTTCTTATCTCCCACTTGCTGCTGTTCAGAGGCATCATTTTTTATTTTTGGTTGGATTAGGTTATTGTGTCTGTTTGCTTAGGCGATTTCTAAAGAGACATTTATATTGCTGTTATTCTTTGTGATGGTTGCCTTCCCGTTTTCAAGCCAGCTAGATCTGATCTGATCAGGACCTGGATGCGCCCATTGATTCTGGCACAGGATGTGAGGCAGCAGGACTGATGGCTGGCTACCACTGGGTTCCATCACATAATTATCATGCATGCTGTCCTCAGAACCAAAGTAGAGAGGCTTTCTATTAGTTAATAACCAGACCCCATTAGGAGCTCTGGATTGGACTGAGGTCTGAGTACAGGGATCCTACTGATCTTAGTGCTGCCCCAAAACTCATTCGGCCACTTCTGATCCTGTCCCTGGTATTGTCCTTCGTGCACCTGAACTCTTGCATCCTGATAGCTTTAAAGAAATCAAGCACAGCCTGAAGTGGATGAGTGCTCACCTGTGTGCCAGTGTGGGAAGATTACCTACAAGTAGAGGTGCTCCTACAGTACTTCAGGTGGTGATAGTGGGGTTACTACCACCACAATTCAAGACAGCTCTTCTGCCAGGCTCTTGCATGCAGCATGTTCTTTTCAGGTTTCTGCATTCCTTGCAGATGGTGGGGCTTCAGTGCATTGCACTCCAGTTCTGTCTAGGAGAAGACATTGCCACAGGTGAGATTAATTCTACCAATGTAGTGAGAGATATGTGTGCTTTGAATAAGGGTGGACGTGAGGAGAAGGGGAGCTTGCTTTTAGGAGCAATAGTTACAATACCTTTCCTAACTGGGGTCATCAGGCAGGGTGTTAGAACAGTAAAAATATCTTTGCTGCTATGTTTCTTGTCTTAATGGGAGTGTGATAGCTGTCAGCTCTCCATCTCATTCCTCCTCCTGCAGAACACATGCAGGGAAGGCATGCAGCAAGACAGAGATTTTCATGGGTACGGTTGGGTGTCAGTAAAAAAAAAAAAAGAAAAGAACATGAAAAATCCTGAGAATGAGGAAAACAGTGATGATGGCACTCAGAGATTCAGGGAGAGCCTAGCTAGGTAAACACTTCATCACTGCACTGGCCTCTTCTGTGTTTGTCTATTACTTTCCATTCTCTCATTTTTAGTGCAGAACTATTTCCTTTTGCTCTTACAAGTATAGGAATCCTTCTGCAGGCAGCATTGTATCTTCTAACACTTTACATTCAATCAGGCACTCTACTTTTCACAGGTAGAATGCTTTTCTTCTGGTGAGAACAATTTTATTTTATTTAAAAAAAGCACCAGGGTATTGCACTTTTTTTTTTCTTATTATTTTGTTTTAAGGAATATCTCTAGCCAGATCAACTTTTGCTTTCCAGTGCTGTTTTCACAGGCATTTCCTGAAGATGGACTATCAGATAAAATGCTGACTTTAGCCTTTTCTTTATCCTCTGTGTTGGGTATTATTTTATTCCTCTTGTTTGTTTTTGCAGTTTCTTTTTCTGGGTTTTACTGAGAGCACTCTGCCAGAGGACCAGGAGGTTCAGCACCAGCAGCGTGTCAGCTCAGAAGCTGTGTCTCTGCTGGAGCCATCCCTCAGCTTGCTTTATGATTTATGACCAAACTAAGATAAACAATTAATCACAATTAAGGAATGAATCAGATAAAGAAATTTCTCTGCTTGGGGATTTCTCCTGGTGTCCAATATCTGCTGTCATGTCCCTTATTCCACCTCTCAGCTTGCAGGAGTCCAAGTGGAAAAGTGGAAATAACCGATGCTTGGTGCTGTGCTGGCTTCAGAGAGTCACAGAACGGTTTGGGTTGGAAGGGACCTTCAATCCCACCCCGTCCCACCCTGTGCCATGGGCAGGGCTGCCACCCAGCAGCTCAGCTGCCCAGGGCTCCATCCAACCTGGTCTTGAGCACCTCCAGGGATGGAGCACCACAGCTTACATGGGCGGCTGTGCCAGCATCTCACCACTCTCTGAGTAAAGAATTTCTTCCTCACATCTCTTTTGGATTTCCTCTCTTTTGGTTTAAATCCATTCCCGCTTTTCCTATCACTAATAGACTGTAAAAAGTTGTTTCCCCTCTTGCTTGTAAGCTCCTCTCAAGTACTGTAAGACTGCAACAAGGTCTCCCGAGAGACTTCTCCAAGCTAGTCTCAGAGTGCCAGAAATGTCATTGAACTAGCTCTGAACATGTCCTATTAGTCCTGAAATACTCAGCAGCTTTTGAGTCTGGGAGACTGCTGCATTTCCTCAATGGTTGTCAGCAATGGGATGCAAGAAGGTGTGGTTTCTCGTTAAGCACAGTCTTTCCTAGTGGAAAAAAACCCAAAAACCAAAAAACATGCAAAATGGAGAACACTAACATTAATTGTTTTATTTTAAGAAGTTTCTCCTCTCCTCTGTAGACTTCCTACTCTTGTGCTCTCTCTCTTACATATGAACACAAATTTCCCAGCATTTCCTGGGGTGACTCAGAGAGGAGCAGGTGTAATGCTCATGTCCTGGGCATTGGTGGGCTCAGCAGTAAGTCCCTGATTTGCCTGAAGATGGAATATGTGTGAGGAAAGGGTATACTTGGGATGGACTGGGGTGCCAAAAAGCAGCCTCTCCAAGGAGCTCTCCTCTTCCTCAGGTGAACCATCTGCTGCATTGTTTCCTTGAATTCCACACAAAAGGGGAAAGTGTCTTGTAAAAGACAAGAGATGTTAAACCACATCTAAAAGCTAATTGCCCAGGGTCAGCAACGGCTAGAGAGATTGAAAAGCAGGAAGAAATTTAACTCTATTTTAGACTGGACGCTTACATTAGGATTAAACAGGTCACCCTACAGAGATACCTCATCCCTGAAGACACCCAAGGTCAGGATGGATGGGACTCTGAGCACATAACTGAGATGTAGGTATCCCTGTTCATTGCAGGGGAGTTGGACTAGATAGCCTTTAGAGGTTCCTTCCAAATCAAACAGATCTATGATTCTGTGATTCTATTTCCCCGAAAAAGAAACCTGGCTTACCTAGATGCTTCACATTTACAAAGTTGAGAATCCAGCCTCCAAATACTTCACATTTCTCACACAGCTCATGGCTTTAACAGATTCTTTGTTCCTTAAACTGCTCTCGCTCTGCTGGAAAGGGAGTGCTGTGGGATTATGAATGTATGGCAGGTGCGGCTGTGCTGTGGGGAGCAGGAGAAAAGAGTGAAGAATGCAGAGAGATGGACCTAGTGCATCTCTAAGGAGTGGTCCTGAGCACTTGTGCATCTGTACATCTAATATGTGCCTCTGCTCCTCTGTTTGTCCTGGTTCAGCCCAAATATGACCCTGTCTGATGGGAGGCTGCTCAGCAATGTGTCTCAAGCAGAGCCTGGCCCAGGAGGGGCAATGCCAGCCTTGGCTGTGGTGGGAGACTCGTGCTTGCTGGCTCTCCTCCACACCGTGAAACAAATGGAAAGTCTGCCTTTTGCTTTTACATTTGTGGAAGTATGACTGGCTTTTTTGTCTGGACTCTAGAAGAGCTGAGAGCCTCCAGGGAGGATGGAATAGCAGAAAGAAAAGTACGCACAGCAGCCTGTGGAATGGAAACTTTTGTAAGTGGGGTAGTTCTGTGTTGTTATAACACCTGTCAAGAGTAGGAAATAATACCTTGACCCTTTCCTAGCACTGCTCAGGCAGGTGCTGATACAGTGATGGATGTTACTTACCCAGGGAGAAGGGGGAGGCAGGAGGAGGGGCTCTTTTTTTTTTTTTTTCCTGCAGATACGCATACAGTAAAAGGTGCAGATTTTGCATGTCTGGAAATGCTGGGAAAGGGCAGTGAAGGATAAGCATGTCAGAAAGCATGTAAGCAAGAGTCAAAGGAATATAACTTAAAAATAAGTGAGTAAGCAGAGTTAATCTACAAGCCCAACCTGAACCAGCCTCATATGGAAACTTGAAGTTTGAACATGCACAGGTAGTTTATATGAACGATTTTCCATTTTAAGGAATGGTTTCATTTCTGGGTCTGGGCAGGACTGGCTTGCAAGGTGTAGCACTGTCAAATGATCTGACAAAATTTGTAGCCTGCCTTGAAACAGGAAATACTGAAAATCCCATGAGGATTGGTGGTGAGCTTTGGAGACACAAGAGATTTGGTCTTGATCCAGTGAGACAAGTAGTTGTGCCTGACCCTCCATGTATGAGTAGCTCCTTTATTTTGTGGGACTGTGCAGAGAGATACCCCACATAATCCTTTCTTCGTATGGTCTTATTAGGTATCCAGCCTTTTGTGAAATATCCAAAATGAAGCTGACATCTTGTGAAGTTTGTTCTCATTCCAGGCTCAACATTTTGTTCTTTTGCATGATAAGAGGCCACTAACATGAACAATGCATGTAAAAATGACAGTTCTGTTTTCATGTCAACCTTTCATGAGAAGCTTCTTGTTGTCTTCAATCAGTTGCTAACAAGAAGTGTCTGAACTTTACATATTACTTGAGGCATCCACTTAACTATAATCAGTCACTGACCAAGGAAAATCTTAGAAAGGATGGGTAAAGACATAATCTTCTGCCTGCCTCTTCTGCTATTAACTTTGTCTTCCTGCTTAATGCTGAAGATAGCAGACTCTCTTTTCGCTTTCTCCCCAGCAGATGATCAATGAATGTTACACCCATCATCGCTGGGCTTCTCTGTGCCCCAGCCTTTTTTCTTGTTCCCTCACCTTCTTTTAGCTGCTTTCTGTAGCATGTGGAGCAGAGCAGGTGAAATCACCTCATTTTCCCCCATCATTCTCATCTTTGTCCATGTCTCCTCAGAAGTGGACAATCCATTTCTGCCAAAGAGCAGGAGAGTTCTGGGCAATCTGGGTCTTTTGTACAAGACTCCCAGAACTCTCTTGGGAAAATGGTCATTGTGGCTTTTGTTTTGGTCAGTAGTGTGACTTTGATCACATCCAAACCTGCAGCAGATCTTTCTGCTTTGCACAAGACAGCACTGGGAGTTTGGCATTCTGCCTTACTTGGCTCTTGCCTGGGCTTAAATGGAAAAATAACATTTTAAGAACAAACAAAGTGTTATTCCTTTGTTTGCTTGCATTTTCCCAGAATAAATGGTGTTCCATGAAGTGTACCTGGAAAATTCCAGGAAGACATCCCTTTTGTAACCCATCACACACAGTATTTTACCCATCACACACTATAGACCCAGTGTTTTCCTTCTGGAGCAACTGAGGAGGTTTTATTTTCACTTTGCTTCTCCCTTGCCTTCCCCCACATTCCCAGTTTTCCTCTTCTATTATTAACTTAAACAATGCCTTATTGGAAAGGGTACTCTTTCAAAAGTTGCTTTGTTAAAAAGCAAAACAAAAAACCACATAAACAACAGCAAATAACAAACTCCCCCCAAATTTCCCACAGAAACAACTTTGACTTTGAAACTGGAAAGCACTGGCACATGGTGCTGCTGTGCCCAGATGTTACATCCTGGGTAAACCACAGTTACCCTCCGGTTGCTCTGCTGACTTATTTTTCCACTTGATGCTCTTCCATTGAGCCCCAACGTTTCCAGGTTCAGATACAAACATCCACAGAGATGAGCTAATTGTCAAAGAGAGACAGGAGTGTATATCAAAATCAAATTTCCTCTGCTTTCTCACTTCATATCTTTCCATCCTAAAGGTGCCAGATTGGG